TTGATCAGTCCAGACAACAGGTGAATGTGCAGTCCTATATATTCTGCTCTAGGAAGACATTAGTGACAGACAAGCACTCGTAGGAGGTCAGGTAGATAGCTCAAAGGGCTGGAGTGCATGCTTGCCAGCCTGGATTCCCTGGTTTACCATATGCTTCCTGAAGCACCAGTGGAGTGACCCCCGAGGATTGTGCTAGGAGTGCCCCAGCATTACCAGGTATATCCCCAAACCCCAAAATCAAAACAGTAGCAGTAACAGTGCAGTTTTGAATTGACAGTGGTCATTCATGAGCAGTGAAAGATTCAAGAGGGGCTGATGGGGTCACAGTGGGTGCCAGCCTTGCACGTGGCCAACCTGGGTTCCATCTGGCACTTCATATGTTTCCCTAGCAATGCTAGGAGTGACCCCTGAGCACAGAGCCAGGAATAAGTCTTGAGCACTGCTGTGTGTGGTCTGAAAAGCAAAGAAAAAAGATGAGAGGCTGAGAGGGACAAAAAGGACAAGTCCAGGATAGAGTCTTTCCTTAGCTGTTTTATCTATTTTTGGTGCTAGAAATCTTATCAGTAGGATCTACTCAGGAAAACAGAAACCACGCTGGATATTTCAGAGAGGGAATTTAATATATGAAATTGGTTCCAAAAGTCTCAGAAGAGCTGGAACAGCCATAGGGAAAAAGAGCAGCCAGGCCAAGAAGAGCGAGAAGCAGGATTCTAATCATAGAGCAGACTGGCACTCTGTGCCCGGAGCTGCACCCACAAGTTTGTGCCAGCTGCAGTGCTTGGAGTTGCTGCCACAGTGCACTGGGCTCTGCCGGTGAGGTACCGTCCTACCAGAGATGCAGAGTCCAAAGGCTGCTAGAGTTGAGTTCACCCTCCCCCTGCTGCCACTACATCAGCAGCACACAGCTATCTCTGAGTTTCCCCTGCCCAAAGCAGGAAACTTTTTTTCCTTCTGATCTCCTGACACTGACTCCTAGTGCTGGTCTCTGATGGGAAGCCAGCTGCAAGGAAGCCTGGAAAATGCATTAGTCAGATTTCCAGTCCCATTAGTGTAGCAGAGCACTGTACTCAGAGCCAGTTGACCTAAGAGACAACAGGTAAAAATATTCAGCATAGGGGCTGGAGCAATAGCACAGCGGGTAGGGTAGCATGCAGCTGGCCCAGGTCTGATCCCCAGCATCCCATATGGTCTCCCCGAGCACCACCAGGAGTAACTCCTGAGTGCACGAGCCAGGAGTGACTCCTGTGCATCGCCGGGTATGACCCAAAACAAACAACAACAACAACAACAATATATATATATATATATATATATATATATATTTAGCACAGTTCACCGTTCAGGCTGCTTGAAATTCACACACACCCCTTTTTCCATATATAACATTATAAACTGTGGGCCTGAGGGACAGCTCAATGGGCTGAGCACATGCTTTGCATTTGGAAGGCGTAGATTCAAGTCCTGGGACTCCATGATCCCTTGAACACTGACAGGAATGACTTCCAGGCCTTGCCAGATGTGACCCAAACACCACTCCTTCCCCCCACAAAATTTTCAAATAAAATAAAATTCTATTTGGGTTTTTTTGTTTTGTTTTGTTTTTTGGGGGCCATACCCAGGAGTGCTCTGGACTCACTCCTGGCTCTGTACTCAGTGACCACTCTTGGCAGGGCTTGGGGAGCCATATGGGATGCTGGGAATCGAACCCAGGTTGGCTGTGTGCAAGACAAACTCCCTACCCACCGTACTATCACTCTGGCCCTAAATAAAGTAAAATTCTAAACTAGAGCTAAAGAAATAGCTCAAAGGACTGAGCGCATGCTTTGCATGCCCAGGCTCAATCCCGAGTAGTACATGATCCCCCAAACACTGCTGGAGTGACTTCCAAACACTGCCATGTGTGGTTCAAACCTTTATCCTCCCCACAAAAATTTTTGTTTGTTTTGTATTGGGGTCACACCCAGCAGTGCTTAGGGCCTAATCCTGGCTCTGCACTAGGAATCATTCCTGGTGGGCTTGGGGGATGATAATGGGTGCCAGAAATCAAACCCAGGTTTGATTTCAAAGAATGCAAAGCTAACCACTAGATAAATACCCTTTATCTAGTGACAGTGAAACAGGAGCCACTCGCATCTCAGGCTCTAAGCCCATTCAGAGAAGTATGTCCACTTGTCTCTCCCGCATGCCTTTTGGCCACAAATCCTTCACTCTGATTTTTTGCCAATCCTTGGCTCTCTGGTCAACATTTTAGGCATTGTTCATTGTCAGAATAGAACCTAACCCTCTCTCTGAGTCCAGGCACTAGTGGACAACCAACAGTTCACCAGCTAGAGCTCAGCCAGTGCCCAGCCTCTTTCAGGGATACTCCCAGTTGGTGCGGTGGGTTTTGCCACCCACTTTCATCCTGGGCCTCATTTGGTGCGGAGTATTTCTAAATGAAGCTCTGGTGATACTCAGGGGTTACTCCTGGCTCTGCACTTTACTCCTGGTGGTGCTAGGGGGACCATATGGCATGCCGAGGATCAAACCAGGTAAGCCACGTGCAAAATAAATGCCCTACTATCTCTCTGAACTATCTCTACGGCCATGAAGCTCCACTTTTTCTTGCTCAGTAGCTTGGAGTGTATCTGTATCTCATGGCGTGTATCTCATGGCGTGTATCTGTGAGTTGAGGAATAGGTAGCAGTGTCCGAGGAGAAGATACGTCAGAATTGTGCCACCTGCTCATGTATCTATTCGTGCAATAGGCATGTTCAGTCCAGTCTTGTGCAGAACACTTCCTCTGCACTCGAATGTGACTGCCCATGATCAAATGTGCATTTTTATGTAACAGTAACACCTATGATTGGCAATTTGGACCCAGCCACCTAGTGGCCCGTGGTCAGGCGTTAGGCTTTCAGAAGTTATTTGTTCATTTCTTTTGAGCCACTCCTAGTAGTGCTCAGGGCTTGCTTAGGGGATCGTGTGGGGTACTGGGAATTGAACCCGAATTGGCCATGTGCAAGGCAAACACCTGTACTATCATGCAGGCCCTATTTTTGTTCGTTTGGGCCACAACTAGCTGTGCTCAGGGCTCATTATGCAGTGCTAGATATCAAACAGCACCCAGCCATGTGCATGGCAAGTGTCTGAACCCCTGTATTGTCTATCCGGCTCCTCCAGAAGTTCTTTGTCAAAAGGAAAATAGTTGGAAGCCAGAGAGATAGCACTAGGAGTAGGGTCCTTTTCTTACATGCAGCTAACTCCAGTTTGAGTTGTGGCACCACATATGATCTCCTTGGCACTGCCAGGGTCTAGTCCTGAGCAAAGAACCAGGAGTAGCTCCTGAGCACTGCTGGATGTGACCCAATAACCCCCCACTACCCCCAAAAGGAAAGAAAAGTCTCTGTCATCTGGTGAGTTGTAATAGTTTTCTTTTTTGTTGGACTGGGAATTGAACCCAAAGTCTCATGCATGCATGCGCTCTAGCACTGAATCACGTAAGTTTCCATGTGTCAGCTTGCCTGATCTGTCACTTGACTGTGCTCCCCGAAAAGCATGTGTGCAAGTACTGCAAAGGGTGCGACCCGCCCCCCTGAACACCATGGCCCAGTGTGAGAGCTTACAACCAAGTGTGTGTGTGACCCCTGTCATCACAACAGCAACAAAGAGAAAGAGAAAAATAAGATAAGGTATAGTGAAATGAGAGAGCTGATGATATAGTTTCCAGTCTGAGTCTGGGCCAGAGCACTCAGTTAATAACTGTGCCATTCTAACAGCTGGTAGGGCGTTTGTCTTGCACACAGCTGACCCGGGTTTGATGCCTCCGCTCCTCTCAGAGATCCCAGCAAGCTACGAGAGTATCTCACCCGCACGGCAAAGCCTGGCAAGCTACCTGTGATGTTTTCAATATGCCAAAAACAGGAACAGTAAGTCTCACAATTTGTTGTGAGATGTTACTGGTGCCCACTCGAGCAAATCGATGAACAACGGGAGGACAGTGTTACGGTGCAGTGCTAAAAGCTGGCAGGGATGAGATGCAGAAAGAGTGAATGTTGTAGTTCAAGTCCAAAGACAGGGCAATACTAGTGTCTCAAATCAAAACCATCAAGTAGGAAGAAATACTCTTTTATTCAAAATACTCATTAGCCTTTAACTTGTTGACTGAGGTCTACTTATATTAAGGAGGGTAAGTTATTTACTGTTTATAAATTTAAATATTAAATATGAATTTAAACTTATCCAATATTCTCATAGAGATACCCTTATTATTGTTAGACAAAAATTACTGGGTTTACATAGTTGGTTGTGGTGCACTAGGGTTCTCACTTGTTTGTGCACTGGGGCCTGGATTGGGGTGTCTCTTCCCAGAAGAGCTTGCTCTTTTTTTATTGAATTGGGTTTTTTTTTTTTTTTGGTTTTGGTTTTGGTTTTGGCTTCATCCAGCTGTGCTCAGGGCTTACTCCTGCCCCTACACTCAGGGTCACTCTTGGCAGGCTTTACGATCAAACCTGGGTTGGCAGCATCCAAAGCAAGCCACCTTACTTGCAGTACTATATCTTTGGCTGTTTTGTGAAAGAAAGCATCATGAGGAATAAAACTTTAAATTCAAATCATAGGTGATTCTCAAGACAGAGAGATGACCCAGAGGACTGGGCACATGGTTTGCATGCAGGAGACCTGGGTTCAGTCCCCAACACTGCAGGGTCCCTTGAGCACTGTTGTGAACCACTGTCCCTGCCTCCCACCCCTTTCCCTCACCCCCACCAAACCGTAGGGGAACGGCTCCAAAGCCTCACCAAAAAATCATGGGTAAAGGTAAAAGGTAAAGGCCCTCCCGTTGATCATCGATTTGCTCGAGCGGGCCCAGTAACGTCTCCATTGGAGACTTTGTTGTTACTGTGTCTGGCATATCGAATACTCTCGGTAGCTTGCCGGGCTCTCCGAGAGGGGTGGAGGAATCGAACTCAGGTCGGCCATATTGGCTGCGTGCAAGGCAGATGCCCTACTCGCCGTGCTATGTGCTCGCTTCGGCAGCACATATACTAAAATTGGAACGATACAGAGAAGATTAGCATGGCCCCTGCGCAAGGATGACACGCAAAAAATCATGGGTGGTTCTCAAAATTAGTTTTTTGGTTTGGTTTGGTTTGGTTTGATTTTGGTGCCACATCTGGCAATGCTTTTGCTCTGTACTCAGGAATGACTCCTAGTGGTGCTCGGGGGACCGTACAGAATGCCAGGGATCAAACCTGGGTTGGTTGCATGTCAGGCAAGCACTGTAACTGCTGTCCTACCACTCCGGCCCTCGTTATCAGGATCAATATAGGCATTTTCACTAAATTTATTTATTTATTTATGTATTGGGGGGCATCAGCTAAGGGGTTACACCTGGCTCTGTACCCAGGGATCACTCCTGGCTGTGCTCAGGGGACTACATGGGATGCTAGGGATTGAACCCATAGTAGATAGGACAAGCGCCCTACTCGCTATACTATCTGCCCCTAGAATTTTATTATTTTTAAAGGCTGGACAGTAGTCCCTTGTATGCCTGTACCACATTTTCTTGATACATTCCTCTGCTGATGGATTTGGGGGTTGTTGCCATTATTTGGCAACTGCAAATAATGTTGCTGTGAACATTGGTGTTCAAATACACACATTTCTGATTTCACTTCCTTGTTTATATACACTGCTGGGTGTGCCCCACCCCCAAAAAAAATAAGTTGTGGGGATGAAGCAATAGCACAGTGGGTAGGGCGTTTGCCTTGCACGCAGCCAACCCGGGTTCGATTCCCAGCATCCCATGTGGTCCCCTGAGCACCGCCAGAGGTAATTCCTGAGCGCAGAGCCAGGAGTATCCCCTGTGCATTGCCGGGTGTGACGCAAAAAGCAAAAACAAAAAACAACAACAACAAAAAAAAACCCAAAAAACCAAAAAAATAAGTTGGGTTTTTTTTTTTTTTTTTTTGCTTTTTGGGTCACACCCGGCGATGCACAGGGGTTACTCCTGGTTCTCACCCAAGAATTACTCCTGGCAGAGCTCAGGGGACCATATGGGATGCTGGGAATTGAACCCGGGTCAGCTGCATGCAAGGCAAACACCATACCCACTGTGCTATCACTCCAGCCCCAAAATAAGTTTATTTTAAAATAAATTTATTTCTTTATTTTTGTCACACCTGGTGACTCTGTGTCACCATGTTGCTGAAACCAGAATTTTTTTTACTTTTCACCTGGCTAGCATGACTTCGTTTCTCAGACCTTGGCTTACTTCTTACTTCTGAGCGGTCTTCCCTGCCCTCTCTATCCCTGCCTAAGCTAGTTCACTCATTAGTCTTGTTCACAGCTTGCTCCCTCCCTCTGTCTCAACATTTGTCATTTAGCATTTCACGTGAGTATTTTTTTTTCCATGTGTGAGACCCAGTTTTGTTGGATACTTTGTGAATCAGGCTTGTTTAATTCTGCCTCCAGCAGGAGGCCTGATTTGTCCAATAATAATATGATATAGTACCTGGAACTCTATTCTTTCTTTGTGTTTTAGAGACTATAGTTTCTTTTTTCTGACTAGGTAGTATTGGGGTTTGGGGGCCACACCCAGAGGTGCTCAGGGTCTTCCCTTGGCATTGTGCTCAGGAGTTACTTCTCACAGTGCCAGGATCAGCCACATGCAAGTCGAGTTCCTAAAGACAGCTCCTTGTACTATCTTCGACTCCTCAAGACTGTTTTCTGGAAGGAAGTCTATTTAAGGCTGGTAGTTCAGTGGTGGAGCATGTGCTTTGTATATGTGGCGCTCAGAGTACCATCATTGGCACCACAAAGGAAAAGGAAAAAGAGAAAGTGTTTTTATTTTTTTGTTTTGGGCCACCCCCCCGGCACTTGTTCCCAGCAGTGCTCAGGGACTGAACTGGCCTAGTGCAAGCACTTTGATCTATGTATCCCTCTGGCCCCAAGAGAAAGAGGTTTTTGTTGTTATTTTTTGTTTGTTTGTTTGTTTGGAGGCGTACCCAGCAGTGCTCAGGGTTTATTCCTGGCTCTGAGCTTGGGGTGTTAGTGACCATATGTGGTGCCAGATATTGAACCCAGGTTGACTGTGTGCATACAAGCGCCCTATGTGTTCTACATCTCTCTCGCCCTGAGAAAAAGGGTTTTTTTTTTTTTTTTTTGCTTTTTGAGTCACACCTGGTGATGCACGGGGGTCACTCCTGACTCCACACTTAGGAATCACTCCTGGCGGTGTTCACAGGACCATATGGGATGCTGGGAATCGAACCCAGGTCAGCTGTGTGCAAGGCAAACACCCTACCCGCTGTGCTATCACTCCAGCCCCTAAGAAAATGGTTTTTTTTTTCTTTTAATGTAGGAGTATTGCTCTTTATTCAGATATAGAGTAGGGGCTGATTGAATTGGGCATGAACTCCTCTTACTCTTTTTTTTTCTTTTTTATAATTTTATTTATTGAATCACCGTGAGAACAGTTACAAAGCTTTCAGGTCTAAGTCTCGGTCATACAATGAAACACCTATCCCTTCACCAAGTGCCCGTTTTCCACCACCAAAAACCCCAATATACCCTCATCCCACTCCCCCTACCTGTGGGGCAGATGATTCCCAAAATACTTTCTGTCTCTACTTTGATTACATTCAATATTTTGACACCAGACCCACCATTATTATTTGGGATTTTACCCCAACACTCAGATCTGCCGAAAAGGCAACAGTAGACAATTTGTTTTCTATTGTCGGTTATGAATAACATATGATGTTGCACAGCCGCAGTAGTGACTGTGCGATTATGGAATTTCAAAATTTTAACAATTAAATCTGGAGGGATTTCTGTTACAACCTGCTGGGTTCCAAGATTTGTTCCTGAGTCTCTCGGATCATGGCCGTTAAGCAGCTTGATCAGGAGCCAGAGAGTCCGTTTGTGGGCAGTGACTTGGGATCTCATTGGGGTAGGGAAGAAGGGGCCGGCTCCACCCCCATCCCGCAAGGCCCCAGTGTCTCATCACTGCGGGCCCAATCCTGACTGTCCAATGACCTCTGAAAGATGGCGGCCACCGAGCCACCAAGGGGGAGCAGATGGAGGGACAGCACTCTTTCCCCCCTTGCTTGTCCTGGTGCTGGTAATCTACTGCGGGGTCTGGACGCATTTCTGCCAAAAGCTGCTGGGTTTCAAGATTTGTTTCTGAGTCTCTTAAATCATGTCTGTTAAGCAGTTTGATCAGGAGCCAGGGAGGCCACTTGTGGGCAGCGACTCAGGATCTTGATGGGGTGGGGAGGAAAGGACCGGCTCCACCCCCATCCCACAAGGCTCTGCATGTCTCATCACTGCGGGCCCAACCGGACTGTCCAATGGCCTCTGAAGAATGGCGGCCACCAAGCCGCCAAGGGGAACAGGCCAAGGCACGAAACCTATTCCCACCTGGGGTGGCCCAGTGCTGGTAACCTGCTGCAGGGACCAGATGCAATTCTCCCAAAAGCCACTGGGTTCCGAAATTTGTTTCTGAGTCTCTGGGATCATGGCCACTAAGCAGCTTGATCACGAGCCAGAGAGGCCGTTCGTGGGTGGCAACTTGGGGTCTCGTTGGGGCGGGGAGGAAAGGGGAGAAAATATTTTTAACGGAAAAGAGATAGAGGTTTCTGATCATTCCTTTCGTTGACTGTTCCTGGAAAAGAAGTGTCCTATCTTGTTTGATAACCGTGTGTCTTTTCCTCTTTAGAATGGAGATCTCCTCTCATCAGTCCCATCTCCTGCAGCAGCTGAACGAACAACGCAGGCAAGATGTGTTTTGTGACTGCAGTATCCTAGTGGAAGGCAAAGTCTTCAAAGCACACCGAAATGTGCTATTTGCTAGTAGTGGATACTTTAAAATGCTCCTGTCCCAGAATTCAAAGGAGACAAGTCAGCCGACCACAGCTACCTTTCAGGCTTTCTCCCCGGACACTTTTACCGTTATCCTGGACTTTGTCTATTCTGGCAAACTCTCTCTGACTGGTCAGAATGTGATAGAGGTGATGTCCGCTGCCAGCTTCCTGCAGATGACTGACGTCATCAGTGTGTGTAAGACCTTCATCAAATCTTCATTAGACATTAGTGAGAAAGAGAAGGATCGCTATTTCAGTCTCTCTGATAAAGATGCCAATTCGAATGGTCTAGAGCGTTCTTTTTATAGTGGTGGCTGGCAAGAAGAAAGCAGTTCTCCACGTTCCCACCTAAGCCCAGATCAAGGAACAGGTGGCGTAAGTGGGAAATCTTGGAGTAAATATAATTACCATCTACCCTCTCAAAGGAATATGCAACAAATTCTGGCCAAGCATGAACAGAGGAAGGATTCCATTAAAAAGTCAAAACATCTGAGACTGTCAAAGCCTCCTGAAGTTGCTCATTATAAGTCAAGTAAACAGGAAGTCCAGACTTCTGATCCTTCCAGCCATGTATCCCAGTCTGAAGAAAAAGCACAAACTGATGTGGAAATAGACTCTGCTCCTATTGGCTATCCATATGGCCAAGGATCTGATGGCATATCCAGAAGTTTTTCAGGTACCCCCAAAGAGAACGAGCTCTCACAGTCAGGTTTCAAGACTCCTCCACAAATCAATCCTCCTTCCACATGCTCTTGTGTCTTTTAAGTCAGACTTCCGAGGCTGGAGAGACGGGCCAACAGGCTCGAGCCAGGTTTTGTGTGCAGGGGTCCTGATTCCATCTGGAATATCCCATGTTCCCCTCAGCGATGTAAGGAGCAAAATTATTTAAATTGATAAGTTTAACGACAAAACACTAGAATTCAGAGGCTCAGAATCCTTGATTTTATAAACTCGTCTGTTGGCGTTTAAATTACTGTTAAGTCTTTAAAGTTCTTGTGTAGGGGCTAAAGAGTACAGGGGGTCAGGAGTTTGCCCAGCACGCAGCTGGCCTGAGATTCATCATAGGCATCCCATATTCCTTAGCAGTCAGTATTATTTTTGGGCACAGAGCCAGGTGTGACCCAAAACAAATGAGCAACAACAAAAAAAAACTCATGTATGATTCTATCCCTAAGACATTTTATTTTTTTGTTGGTTTGTTTGCTTATTTTGCTTTGGGCCACACCCTGCTGTGCTCAGGGCTTACTCCTGCTCTGCACTCAGGAACTACTCCTGCCTGTGCTCTGGGGGTCATATGGGATATCAGGGATTGAACACAGGTTGGTCTTGTGCAGGGCCTACCTGCTCTACGGTCTTTCTGGTCCCTTCTTTGTTTTTTTTTGGGTCACACTCAGCAGTACTCAGTACTAGGGACTGAACCATGGTTGACTACTGTACCATCTCTCTGGCCCTTTGAATAATTTTTTTCCCCCTGAATTTACTCAGGGGGCATTATTTTATACAGAAAAGTTAAGTAGGTAGTAGAGAGAGTATAGCTGGTAGGGCACTAGCCTTACATCACAGACCCAGGGAAAAGCCCTGAGCACAGCCAGGTATGGCTTAAAAAAAAAAAGTGAGAAGTAGTATTTGGAGAGATAGTACAATGGGTATGGCTTTTACCTTGCATACAGTCAACCTAAGTGATAACCTGTATCACTTCAGGCCCCACCAGGAGTGAGCCCTGAGCACAGCCTGGTATAATCCAAAAAACAAACAAAATTATCAAATAGCTGTTACTAAAGGTCATACTCTGTTAACCAAGGCAGAGATACTAGAGCAAATATGGCAAATCTTTATTGTACATTAATTATTACTGCTACTACTTTTGAGTTTTAGACTACACCTGGCCTTACACAGGGGCTACTCCAGGCGCATTACTTGGTGTTTGCTCCTGGCACGTTGGGGAATCATGTTGGGGTTTAAACACAGGCCTGCATCATACAAAGCATGAATGCTAGCCCTTTTAGCTGTCTTCCTGGCCCTTTGTTGCTTTTCAGGGATCGAGAAGGTGCCACACCCAGAGGTACTCAGGCTACTCCTGGCTCAGTGCTCAGGGCTCACTCCTGACTGGTCTCAGGGAGCCATGAGCGCCAGGGATCAAACACAGACCTCCTGTGTGCAGAACGTGTTCATCAGCCATTCAGCCACCACTGACACCCCCATGCCAACCCCTTTGTTACATTTTTCGGTTTTGGGCTACACCCAGCAGTGCTCAGGGCTCACTTCTTTCCCAGGAGGTGCTCAGAGGACCATAATGGGATGCCGGGAATGGAACCCATTTGACTGTGTGCAAGGCAAGCTAGTGCCCTACCTGTACTATTACTCCGGTACCCCGTTACATTTTTTTTTCTTTTTGGGTCACACCCGGCGATGCACAGGGGTCACTCCTGGCTCTACACTCAGGAGTTATTCCTGGCGGTGCTTAGGGGACCATATGGAATGCTGAGAATCGAACCCGGGTCGGCCGCGTGCAAGGCAAACGCCCTACCCGCCGTGCTATTTCTCCAGCCCCACCCCATTACATTTTTAAACATAGGAGGTGGGTGGCTAGCTCTAAAGACCAGAGGGTGTGGCTAGCATGCACATAGGCCCCTAGTTCAAGAATTGGCACCACACGACTTCCCTGCACTGCTGGGTATCGTTACCCCCAACACTGCTCCCACAAAAATGAAATTTAAAGTAAATAACATCAAAAAGCCAGCATAAAAGTAGTCCTTTTTTCTTTTTGCTTTTTGGGTCACACGCAGCGATGTTCAGGGGTTACTCCTGCCTCTGCACTCGGAATTCCTCCTGGTGGTGCGTGGTGCTTGGGGGACCATATGGGATGCCAGGGATTGAAACTTGATCAGCCACCTGCAAGGCAAACGCCCTCCCCACTGTGATATCGCTCTGGCCCCCTAAAAGTAGTCTTTTATTTTACTCTGTTCTTTTATAGGGCTGGAGTGATAGCACAGCAGGGAGGGCGTTTGCCTTGCACGTGGCCGACCTGGGTTTGATTCCTCCGCCCCTCTTGGAGAGCCAGGCAAGAGTATCTATTTACTCAGAGTATCTATTTTTCTTACTACTGAGAGTATCTATTTTTCTTTTTTTTCCTTGGGTCACACCTGCTGATGCACAGGGGTTACTCCTGGCTATGCACTCAGGAATTACTCCTGGCGGTGCTCAGGGGACCATATGGGATGCTGGGAATCAAACCTGGGTCGGCTGCGTGCAAGGCAAACACCCTACCCGCTGTGTTATCGCTCCAGCCCCACTACCGAGAGTATCTTGCCTGTATGGAAAAGCCTGGCAAGCTACCCATGACACATTTGATATGCCAAAAACAGTAACAAAAAGTCTCACAATTTGTTGTGAGATGTTACTGGTGCCAGCTGGAGCAAATCGAGGAACAATGGGAGGACAGTGCTACATTCTTTTATAATTCTAGGTTATTTATTTTTGGAGTCATATCCAATGGTGCTTAGGGGCTACTCGCAGCTCTGTGCTAGTGAGAGGTCACTTTTGGCAGTGCTCAGGGGACCATTTGGTATCAGGGCTCAAACCTGGGCCTCCCACATGCAAAGCCTGGGTTCAGCCCATTGAACTAGCTCTCTGGCCCCGATCATTCTAGGTTATTTAAATCTTAAATTCAGTAATGAACAGTTGTTCAATTGATGAAACATGCCTTCAGTCACAAACATTGGAATACATATTTTAAAACAAGAGTGAAATATTATGTTGTCAGAATTGTTTTGTGAGCTGACCAGTGATTACCTGCAACTGTCTCCTGACAGATGACCTGCCCCGGATGCGGTTCAAGTGCCCTTTCTGCACACATGTGGTGAAAAGGAAAGCTGACCTCAAGCGCCACCTTCGCTGTCACACGGGGGAAAGGCCCTACCCCTGTCAAGCTTGTGGGAAAAGGTTCAGCAGGCTAGACCATCTCAGTAGCCACTTCCGAACAGTATGTATTTGCTTCTTCACCATCCTGCTCTCTTGTTTTTTGGTTTTGAGCCATCACTGATGTATGTAACTCAGGGCTTACTCCTGACTCTGTGCTCAGGGATCACTCCTGGAGGGCTCAGGAGACCATATGGGGTGCCAGGGCTTCAACCCAGATCAGCTGTATGCAAGGTAAGCCCCTTCTCCGCTGTACTACCTCCCTGGCCCCTCATTTTACTTAAGAAATAAAGTAAAAGTAAAGTAAAATTAAATTTCATGTGCAGGTTTGGATGTAACTCAGTGGTAAACCAGTGCCTTGTATGTATGAGACCCTCACACATGCGAGGGAAAATAATCACAAATAAAAAAAAAAAACAGTGATTAGTCAGTAGTGTCAGATCATCCACTTCTATTATTTTTGACCCAAAATTCCCTGGCAGGGCAGGAGAGATGGTACAGAGCTTAAGGCATTTGCTTTGTACACAGTTGATCCCAATTTGATCCCTGGCACTGCATACGGTCCTTGAGCACTACCAGGAGTGATCCCTGACCACCACCAGGTGTGGACTAACGCCCTGCCCAGTAACTAGATAGGAGGGGAAAAGAAAATTCATTTTCATTATTATTAAATCCCTACGTAGATTCACCAGGCCTGCAAACTCATCTGCCGGAAATGCAAGCGCCACGTGACGGATCTCACAGGGCAAGTGGTGCAGGAAGGCACCCGGCGCTACAGACTCTGCAACGAGTGCCTTGCCGAGGTGGGCATCGACAGCCTCCCCATGGACCTGGAAGCGCAGCAGCAGCTCCTGTCCCCGTCCGATGGAGACAAGGATTCCAGGTGGCACATGAGTGAAGACGAGCATAGATCATACGTGGAGATCATTGAGGACGGGTCTGCTGATCTGGTCATACAACAGGTTGATGACAGCGAAGAAGAAGAAAAGGAAGTAAAGCCCAACATTAGGTAGCTGCTGTGTGAAGCCACAGACCTTGAAGTCTGCAGCTTCGTGTGACTTCCTGCATCTCTGTTGCTCCATGGTCAGAGCCTGGTTAACACCTTTATCCAAATGACTTCAAAGTCACCACCTGACATAACTTGCATGCTTTCTGAACGGGGCACTATGCCCATTCCTGAACTGTGTTGCCCTGAAATATGTTGCTGCACTGGAAAGAAAGACATAGCCCGAGTTGGCGTGATAGGGGACAATGACTCCTCTTGCTTCTATTACAGAGGTATCTTTTTCCTTTTAATATTGGAAGCTCTACTTAGCAAACTTTTTTCAAGGGAAGTATTTTAAATAAAGCTACCACAATCAGACTTCATGTAAGATGATTTCAAAGTGTCTCAAAAATACATAAACTGCTGGGACTGGAGCAATAAGACAGCGGGTAGGGTATTTGCCTTGCACGTGGCCAACCCAGGTTCGATTCCCAGCATCTCATATGGTCCCCTGAGCACTGCCAGGGGTAATTCCTGAGTGCAGAGCCAGGAGTGACTCCTGTGCATCACCAGATGTGACCCAAAAAGAAAAACAAAACAAAAACAAAACAAATATAAACTGCCAGTATTAAAATTTCACAGGGAACCAGGTAATCGCACATTTAAGGGTCTAACAACTGACCTGGTTTGCATTGTTTTTTCAATTTTTTCTTTATTTTTTTTCTATTTGGGTCACACCCAGCAATGCTCAGAGGTTACTCCTGGCTCTGCACTCAGTAATTATTCCTGGCAATGCTCAGGGGACCATATGGGATGCTGGGAATCGAACTCAGGTCGGCCACGTGCAAGGCAAACGCCCTACCCGCTGTGCTATCGCTCCAGCCCCTGTTTTTTTTTATTATTAACTTCAGTTCTAAAACAACCTGTCATGGGCTAAAGTGATAGTACACTGGGTAGGGTGTCTACCTTGTACATGGTTGACCCAGGTTTGATCCCCAGCACCCTAGATGGTCTCCCCCAAGTACTGCCAGGAATAATTCCTGAGTGCAGAGCCAGGAGTAACCTCTGAGCATCACTGGGTGCAAAAAAAGCAAAAAAAAAAATTTATAAAATAAACAGTATCCTAACTACTTAGAATTATGCCAAAAGATTGAAAGAATGGAAATCTTTCATACTTGAAATTCTGCATTAAAGACAAGAATTATATCGAGGGGACAGAGTGATAGTTTAGTGAGTAGGGCACCTGCCTTGCACACAGCTGACCTGAGTCTGATCATTGGCACCCCATATGTTCCCCCAAGCCCTGCCAGGAATGATCCTTGAGCACAGAGCCAGGAGTCAGCCTTGAGTTTCCCAGGGTGTGGCCCAAAGTGCTGCCTCCTCAAAAAAAAATTAAATTAAGGTTGACTAAAGATTATATACATGCACCATTTTAATTTTGGGAGGGTAGGATTTGGGGCCACGCCTAGCAGTGCTCAGTACTTACTCCTGCCTTTGCACTCAAGAATCACTCCAGGGCAGAACAGGGGGACTATGGGATGCCGGAGATGGCACCCAGCTCAGCTGTTTGCAATACTAGTGCCCAGCTTGCTGTACAATCATCCAGCCCCTCAGCCACTTTGTTTTACAGTACTGAGTTTGAAGGCTTTTTCAATATTCACCTAATGAATATTGAAAAAGCATCTTATTGTCATGAGACATCTTATTGTCTCATTCCTACTTTGGACAAACTTGCAGGCTATCGAATGCAGTCTGCCCACAGGGCAGAGTCTGGCAAACTCCCCGTGGCCTACCAAATATGCCAAATACCAGTAACAATGATGGGTCTCATTCTCCTAAAGAGCCTTGAATATAATCTCAGGGCTAGGATGAAGGAGACGTTACTGGGGCCTGCTCGAGGCAATCGACAAATAACAGGATGATGAAATGAAAAATGATGACCTAGTGGCAAATTTTCCAACTACTTTATGGCTGGATGGTGTGCACTAACTTTACTCTTTGCCCAAATGGGGAGTTTTTTTGTTTTGTTCTGTTTTGTTTTTTTTTGTTTTTGTTTTTGCTTTTTGGGTCACACCCGGCAATGCACAGGGGTTACTCCTGGTTCTGCACTCAGGAATTATTCCTGGCGGTGCTCAGGGGACCATATTGGATGCTGGGAATCGAACCCGGGTGTGCAAGGCAAACGCCCTAGCCGCTGTGCTATCACTCCAGCCCCAAATGGGGAGTTTTAACAATGAAAACTCCCACATATGGGGAGGGAACACTGTCCTGTGTCTCGCTAGAATGATGCAAATACCTTCCAAAACCATCACCTGCATCCTCAGCAATAGTACAGTGGATAGTGTGCTCGCTTTGCACCCTGCTGACCTGGTTTGATCCCTGGCACCCCATATGCTTCCCTGAGTACTGCTGGGGGTGACTCTCCCTCCAAAAAAAAACTAGACAAAAAAAATCTAAATTTTATTGGTTGGGGCCAAAAGGACAATTGACTGATTGTAACTTTATGCACCGCAAAAAAAGTAGTGCTGGGGGATGGAGTGATAGCACAGCAGGTAGGGCATTTGCCTTGCATGTGGCCGACCCAGGTTCGACTCCCAGCATCCCATATGGTCCCTGAGCACTGCCAGGAGTAATTCCTGAGTGCAGAGCCAGGAGTAACCCCTGAGCATTGCTGGGTGTGACCCAAAAAGAAAAAAAAAAGGTAGTGCTGGTGTTTATATGGATTCTCTGACACTCTAAGTCAGCACTTTCCAGCCTGTGGGAGCAGGGTGGCCCAGGTGAAAATCATGACACTAGAGCACAAGACTAAGGCACCAACTGGAGGACAGAGATGTCACAGGAGGAAGCAAGGATGGCCCATGGTCAGGAGAAGGCTCAGAGTACGGATTTAGTCTCGAATCCAAATGCTCTTTTGCACCTACTGGGGAAATAGTGATAAAAGAGGAAGGCAAAAAATGATGACGGCAAAAAGAAATCAGAAACTGTCCTAGCCTCAGTCAACCGGAAGGTTCCTAAGGAGTGTCTGCAGGTGATGGGAGCATGCATGCTACACGATGAGGGACGTGCGTGCATAGGTGAATGAGGGCATGAATAGCCTCAGATGTCCTTTGGGAAGGCCAGCAGGGGAGAAGACAGGGAGGGTGCTGGGACAGCCCCACATAGGTGCCCCTCAGTCCCCAGACAGGACACACATCCTGGAAACTGGAGTTCTCTAGCCAGTGTATGAAAAGAAAGGCCTTTGCTCATTTTGCCAGCCACTATGAGACTAAGGTTGTTACTTTAAAAAAAAAAAAGATTTTGTTGATTAAATTTGTTAGCACAAAAAAAAAAATAATAAATAAATGCTCCCAGGCATCCCATATGATCCCCCAAGCCCACCGGGGTCATTCCTGAGTGCAGAGCCAGGAGGAGCCCCTGAGCAATGCTGGGTGTGATCCAAAAACACTGTCACTGTCCTCCCGTTGTTCCTCCATTTGCTCGAGCGGGCCCAGTAACGTCACCATTGTGAGACTTGTTGTTACTGTGTTTGGCATATCGAATACATCACGGGGAGCTTGCCAGGCTTTCCCATGTGGGCGAGATACTCTCAATAGCTTGCCAGGCTCTCTGAGAGGGCTGGAGAAATTGAACCTGAGTCGGCCGCGTACAAGGCAAATGCCCTACCGCTGTGCTATTGCTACAGCCCATCCAAAAACAATAACCAGGGGAAAAAAGGAAGTTTGTTGCCCCCAAATTATTTTAAAAATAGTGTTCATTAGTTTCTCGGGGGCTGGAGTGATAGCACAGCAGGTAGGGCGTTTGCCTTGAATGCGGCCGACCCGGGTTCGATTCCCAGCATTCCATATGGTCCCCTGAGCACTGCTAGGTGTGATTCCTGAGAGCAAAGCCAGGAGTAACCCTTGAGCATCGCCAGGTGTGACCCAAAAAGCAAAAAAAAAAAAAGAAAAAAAATACTGTTCATTAGTTTCTGAATACCTTCTAACTTGTTGGTCCTTAAAAGTGTCTATTTGGTGGGTTGAAGTTTTACAAAAATAAAACTTCTTGGGGCTGGAGCGATAGCACAGCGGGTAGGGCGTTTGCCTTGCACGCGGCCGACCCGGTTCGATTCCCAGCATCCCATATGGTCCCCTGAGCACCGCCAGGAGTAATTCCTGAGTGCAGAGCCAGGAGTAACTCCTGTGCATCGCTGGGTGTGACCCAAAAAGCAAAAAAAAAAACTTCTCAACAGCTGAGCCTAGTGTCTGGGGGAAACAAAATGTACTGGATCAGCAGTTAAAAATATTTTTAACCCAAAAAAAACTTTTCTACAAATGAATTAATTCATTGAGAAGTGTAACATTTAACAGAAAAACTAAAATCAGGGCTGCTCTGATTAGACCCCCCTAGAACCTCGGCCCATACATAGCTGCAAAGCTCTGGATTCAATCAAACTTGGAACTTTTACAATCCTTTGATGTATTACAGTTGCACTTCATTAATCCAAATAACAGGATCTGCTAGAATGCAAATCACACTGTAGTATACAGTGTTCTTTCTATAGCTATAAAGACTTTCCAGGAAACAATTTTTCAATTTTTGTGTTTTGTTTTATTTTGGGGCTACACCTGGTGGTCTTCAAGGCCTACTCCTGGTTCTTTAGTCAGGGATCACTCCTGGCTGGGCTTAAGGGACCAAATGGGGTGCCAGGGATCCAATCCGGATCAGCCACGTGCAAGGCAAGCACCCTACCCACTGTACTCTGGCCCTGATATTCAGTTGTTTTAGAATACACATCATTGTATATGGATAAACCCTATTCAGATGAAGAACATGACTCTAGTTACAAAAGTTTTGATTTAAGGATAAAATTCAGATTTTCACAGAAAGGGCACTAGTAAGCTAGATGCTTTCTATATTGTGAGGTATCAATATTTTATTTTGTTATAGGAGTTTCTTAAATATTCATGCTGATAAAGTCATGAGTAGATCAGAAAAACAAAATCCTGAAGAGGATCTAGGGGGTGGAGTGATAGCACAGCAGGTAGGGCATTTGCCTGGCATGCAGCTACCAAGGTTGGACCCCCAGCACCCCATATGGGCCACCAAGTTCATCAAGAGTAATCCCTGAGTGCCCAGCCAGGTGCCTGAACAATGCTGGGCGTGACCCAAAAACAACACAAAAAGGAAAAAAATACAGAGGATCTATAAACTTATCTTCTGACATCCCTGCACTGGAGTAAACTGAATGGGTTGACCACTTGCTTTACCCATAGGAGGCCCAGGTCTGATGGATCCCCAGCATCAAATGGTCACCGTGTGTGACCCAAAAAAACACACTTATAATAATAACAAAAATTCAAATACCACAATAAGCAGTAAACCACAAAGA